AGGGACTGCTACGTATGGATGAGTCCACATGGGAGCAGGACACCCCAAAGCATCTGTGGCTATGAATAAGTCCACACCAGAGCAGGTACGTCTCAAAGCATCTGTGGCCATGGTTTTGTCTGTGCCACAGCAGGTATAGGTCTAAAGGGATTGTGGCCCAAGGATAAGTCCACACTGGAGAAGGTACACCTCAAAGCATCTGTGGCTGTGGATAAGTCCATGCTGCAGCAGGTACACACTGAAGCATCAATGGCTGTGCATGAGGTCATGCTGGAGCACCTCAAAGTGTGTGGCCATGGATGAGCCCATGACAGGGCAGGTTTACTTCTGAAGGGACTGAAAGGAGTATGGCTGTGGGTAAGGCCATGCTGGAGCAGGTATATCTTTGAAGACATTGTGGCCCATGGATAACCCATGCTAGAACAGGTGCACCTCAAAGTGACTGTGGCTGTAGATATGTCTATGCTGCAGCAGGCATAACTCTGAAAGCATTGTGGCTCATAGATAAGGCTCCACATGGAGCAGGTACACTCCTAAGGGACTGCAGTCTCTGGATAAGTCCAAGACGGAGCAGGGGCAAGAGAAGGAATTTATTGCAATGTTAAACCCAATGGTCTGGTGGCATGGAGATTGTAATGGAAATACCTTTAAATTGTTGTAACTCATGATTTGTGTTGGACATTACAGGAATTACTGTAGCAGGAACCACCTGAACCAATGGAGGACAAGGACAAGCCTTACAAGAAGCAGTGCAAGTGCAGCAGTGACCCAACCTGATCTGGCTTTGGTGCCCAGTAACTCCATGCAACACACCAGCTCTCCTGTCCTGAGTGACCACCATAACAGATGGAGCTCAAAGCCATGGGCTAAATGAACTCAATGGACATTTTGTGGGCATTTTATGGACATTAAAACACATTTTGCAAGGATGTTCCATAGACTAAGGGAATGATATCTGCATATTTTATCAAAGAGTGAGAAGGAAGGGGGGCAGGGGTGGTTAATGAGGAGGTATTGGATAGTGTGGGACCTGAGCATGACATAAATGGTACGGAATAAGGAGTGGAGGATGTGCTGGTTTTGGCTGAGATAAAGTTGATTTTCTTCATAGTAGCTGTGGAGATTTAACCTTGGCTGGATGCCAGGTGCCCACCAAGCCACTCTATCACTCCTCTCTTCAACAGGACAGCGAGGGTAGAAAAATAAGATGGAAAAAACCCCCAAACTCTTGGGTCAAGATAAAGGCTGTTTAATAAATCAAAAGCTAAAGGCTGTGCACCAAAGCAAAGCAAAACCAAAAAGATTTATTCTTTACTTCCCATCAGCAATGGCCAGCCACTTCCCAGGAAGCAGGGCTTCAGTACGTGTAGCGGTTGCTCCAGATGACAAACAAATGCCGCCACTTTCTCCCCCTTTCTCTCAGCTTCTTATTGCTGAGCAGACATCATATGGTGTGGAATATCCCTTTGGTCAGTTTGGGTCAGCTGTCCTGGCTGTGTCCCCTCCCAAGATCTTGGCCACCCCCAGCCTACTGGTGAGGGGGGGTGAAATCTTGGAGAGACAGCCTTGATGTGTGCCAGCACTGCTCGGCAGTAGCCAAAACACTGATGTGTTATCAACACCTTGCTTACTACCAATACACAG